TAAAGCGAGGGGCAAAGCCGCAGGTGTAGCTTTCAGGAGCCGGGCGCTGGAACCGGGACTCTCCCTCCGCTCCTCCGCCCACCCTTCGTTAATCCGCCTGTGGCCTCGTCCGCAACTCTTCCGATCGCTGGGCTCGGTCGGCCTCGGGGGGGTTGACGGGTGCGAGGGAGGAGGAGGAGGAGGCGGCTGCCTCCAAGAGCTGGCGGTGACAGCTTTGCCGCTGCGGGGCGGCTCAGCCTGAGCGGCGGAGCGCTGCCCTCATTCAAGCCCTTCTGCAACAGGCTCTTAGCCAGACCCCGGCTCGCGGGGAGGGCGAGGGCGAGGGCGAGGGCGAGGGGGAGGGCGGCACGAGCAGGTGCGGCTGACGTTCTGCCGCGAGAGCGGGCCCTGCTTGGCCCGGGGAAGGACCTTGCAGGCGATATCCCAGAATGCTTAGAGATACCTATGCTGTGCATTGAGGCCTCCTTGTTTGTTAGAGTGCATCAAGCAACTGCCGTGCGATCAAGCTTTTCATTGATGTCTTGCATGAAAAACATATGTGATCAGCCTCCGGGTTTCCATGCAATGAAATGCTTATTGGATCTTTGTGAACACACACCTCAGATTGAATTAAGTGATGGCTTTGGGGATTAAATTCTAGTTCTCATACATTTAGGGAGATGACCACTACTTTAGTAAGAAGAGGTTCTCTCTCTCTCTCTCTCTCTCTCTTTCTTTCAAACTAAAAGGTGTGATGCATAGGAACTGCATAGGAACAAACATCTGGGTGTGGGTGGTGAATAGAAAATGCTCAAAAGGAAATGGAATCACAGCAAGTGCACATCAACTGGAAAAATACAAAAAGATGGTTGTGTGGTTAAATATGCAAAATATATATCTTTTGTCTAAGTCATACTTATTTGGGCAGTTTTTCTACCACCTTAGTCCTAATGGATTCTTGAAAGAAAGGGTTAGACTAACTAGGAATTATGGATTAGAATTTCAGCTTTGGAATCCGAAATGTGGCTAATTCAGATTAAACAATAATAAACCAAAGCTAATTTTTCAGCCCTCCTCTTCTATATGTCATCTAAATCAGCATCCATATTCCATCCTTGAGGATGCCTTAAATAATACTATATAGCATCAAGCGTCTGAGGCAAACTTTTCTGCCTATAAAGTGTGAGTGGGTTGGAAATCAGTTAGCTATTTCCTAGTGCCAAGCACTAGCTAAATAGGGTTTGCAGAGAATTGTGTTGACAGCTGAGAACTCTGGGTTCAAAAGGAGAAGGACAGATAGAAAGAGATGGCCTAGTGGAGTTTCATTGGGCTGGTTTTAAGATGGGCCTCGTGAAAGTTAACAATCCAGACTTTGGAGCTTGCAGGTGAAAAAGACATTGCTGTTAGTGAAACTGAAGGGCCCCCTGAGCCATCTGCTGCTGTCACTATGGTGGCTCAGGGATTTCACATCACAAAAATCTCAAGTAATGAGATTGAATTAACTACAGGAAATGGAAAGAAAGGCACGCAGAGATCTGGTGTTATTCCTAGGCTGTTTCATTAGAAGAAACATTGGACCTTTGTGGATATAAAGTGTTTTTGGCTGGTGTAATACAAAAAATCAGCTGACTCTAATCTATGTTGAAATAAAGCTTCAGTTAATACCAGCTCTCAAAGAAAAAGAAATTCTTCAACCCAGTGGCCAAGAAAATAACCAACCTACCAACGACATTCTTCCAGATTAGTGCAATTAAACTTAATTTTCAGTGTGTGCGTTTGTGTATACTATATAAGCACCTTTTTCTTCAAGTCAGTTTTGCTTTCTTGGAATCTCTTTTATTTGCCCATGAATGCTTTTCTTTGCCATTTTAGGCTGCAGACCTATTCATATTTACATCGTACTCACTGAATTCAGGAAGATTTACTTTTAAGTAACTCTCTGTCTCTTTTTGATTTTATATATTTTACCCTAATTTGGGGCCAAGCTGACCTCCAAGGCTACTTCCAATAATTAAAAACAATCAGGAAAGCCCCAAAGATATTTTTTTATACTATAATGAATAAAAAATAGATGTGAAATTAAATTTCACTACAAGAGCCAAAAACTCAGTTTTATCTACAGACTGTACACGTTTATCAGTGGTTCTTCCTTGTGAGAAAACATTGATAAAAAGATCAGGTTTATATTAGGTCAAGAGTTAAAAGCCACTTCTAAAAGTTGAAAACCCTTTAGTGTGGCTCCAAGTGGGAATCAAAATCAGAATGGGAAATTGTATATACCATAGTATGCAAAATCTATGTTTATATATATGTGTGTATACACACACACACACACTGAAAATTATATATACTGTAGTATGCAAAATACTATGTTTATATATGTGTGTGTATATACACACACACACACGGAACTGTTTGGTGTACAGCCACATTTTCTCAAGTCGCTTTCTTAGGGGGTAAATTCATATGACTAAAAACTTGCTGCATGATTACTCTAACTATATGGATGTCAAAGTTATCTTGATAGCACATAGAAAGAGATCTATAGTAAGTTTTAAAATAAATTTTCATTGAATCCACCATAAGGAGGTTCATTGTGCCAAACTGGATTGTTATTATATATAGTTCATTTTTGTGCTTGGAGGTTTACAGAATATAAAAGGACAGGGCTCTGCCGAACGAAGCTTATAGCTAACATTTGATATAGGAGAAACATCAAAGAAAGATGAATCATTGATTTGGTTTGGAAATTGTATTAAACTGTGGTTTAACCTTAGGCTTGTTCCCTGCCTTCTCTGGCATGGCCTTGAGGAAGAGATTAAACTCTTACTTCAGTCTTGCTTTTCTGAATCATGAACAAACCAGGATTATACATCACAATTTGATTTTGTTTTGCTTTCCTAAACCATGATTAAGACTAAACAGTCTGTATTCAAATATATGGCGGACTTTAATTTTTTCATAGTTTTTAAGTTTTGTTTTGCTGACACTGAACAAGTCAACAAAAGAAAAGTACAAATACATGCAACAACATTGAAGACTCAACTCAATCTCAGCAGTGATAAAAAAGCAATTTTAAAAGGATGAGGGGAAGAGAAAAAAGGCCTGGGAATTATGATATAATTGAAAGTTCTTTTTGCCCCTTTGACTAAAGAGGACTAATGGAACAAGTTGACAGTGAATAAGCCATAATGACTAGTTCATACATAATAGTTATAAAAAGTGGATTTACATACCCATAATTAGTGGGTTATTGCATAAGAATAAAATATTTTACAGTATAGTGTAAAATGAACCTAGAAAAATGAATAATTTTATTTATGGAAATATAGGTAGTCCTTGACCTACAACTATCTGGTCAGCAACCATTCCAAGTTATGATGGCGCTGAACAAATGGTGGTTACAACAAGTCCTCGAGGTTCTGGCCATCTCAGCACCGCCGTGGTCACATGATTGTGATCTGGGAGCTTGGCAACCCATTTATACTTACGACCAGTTGCCAAGTGCCCCACGATCACAATCGCCATTTGCAACTTTCCATGCCGGCTTCCCCAGAAAGTCAGTGGGGAAGCCAGCAGGGAAGGATGCAAGTTGTTGGGGTAAGTCTCCCCACCTGCACACCATCCCCCAGCCCCTCTGCATTCACACCACATCATCTACTCTCACATCCCCATGCACCCTTCTCACCTGTGCTGCACCCCTGCACACCCTCCCCAACCTGTACAGTGCCTGTCGCACACCCTCCCAACCTGTGCTGAGCTTCTTGCACCCTCCTTGCACCCTC